TGTTGTGAAATTTTTTCAAAATCATTATTGTTATTATTATTATTACCCATGAAACATGTACACATGAATAACCGTACACAAGGAGTGGAGTGGAATAGAACTTCAGAATGTCAGCCTGGCCTGCGTGACCAATACTTAACCCTTGAAAAAAAAAAGTTCTTTCTGTCGTTCGTTCATTTTTCTTGTTCTTATTTTTGTTCTTGTTCTTCTTGTGTTTTTTTTTTTTTGTTCTTCTTCTTCTTATTCTTCTTTTTCTTTTTCTTCTTCCACTTCTTTGTTTTTTTTTCTCGCTTGTTCTCTGAAAGTTAGGACATTTTTCGATATCCATTTGAGTCTGGGTTGATCTGGAAAGCAAGGCCATTTAAACAAAAATCAGCATTAACATGTGTTATTTTTCTTGTTGCCACTTCATATACACTTTTCTCTTCTTTTCTTTACTTCACTTAATTTTGATAAAAAGACTTTTCATTAATAAATCATCCGAATCTGCACATTTGCATGCCTTGTCATCGCCAACACAAGCTATCCGCCTTCCACCACACATGTCTACATAGAATTATCAAAATTTTCTGACCAGATAAAATCTCAAACATTAAACTACTTCAAGTCACAAACCAAGAAACTTTAGACATTATGATAACCAAGAGAAGATGGAAATGGCATAGCCATCTTATTAGAATGAATCCTGATATACCTGCCAAAACAGCTCTCACCTGGACACCAGAGGGAAAGAGAAAACAGGGGTGCCCAAAAACAACACGGAGACAAACGATGGAAAGTGACCTGAGTGCGGCATCTTTGACATGGAAAACTGCACTAAAGATTGCACAGGACAGGAAAGCCTGGAAAGTCCTCTCTGAAGCCTCTTGTACCACTAGGCATAATGAGAACTGATGATCATCGCCAACAAAGAACAGCCACAAAATATTTGAAGGTGAATGTCCTATTTGATCAATTAATACCTTATAAAAGAATGTGACCATGTGTGCACATTGAAGCCTCGGAGATGTCGATGTACAGATGAATCCTCAGAACTCCTTGAACAGCTAAGAAGAGCAGTTCAGATGTTTTGAAAGAGGCGAGTGCTCGGAGACAACTTATCACAAACATCAGAAATAGACAGTCATCATTTTTCAGCAAGTTATCAGAAAAGGTAACATGAAACATGTTGTGACCACTGGAAACTTCTGTGGAGAGAGAGAGAGACAGAGAGACAGAGGAAGACAGCGCGAGAAGATTCTTGACAGTCTTTTATCATGACCTGGAAGGATGTCAGCACACGCACTGACACATGCAGCGGATTGTGGAGTCGCATGATCGCCCACGCCAGCCAGCAAGGCACTTGATGATGATGACATATGAACACTACAAGTCTAGCAGCAAGTAACACACATCGTATATTTTATTCAGCCAGCATCAACATTTCTGAATTTCCAGTGGCCGTAATTCATTGTATGTTAAATATGTTCAGCTGCATTCTCCCTTGAAAGAGCAATTGACACATATTGTTGTGGTTTACAGCTGGTGAGCTATATCTACGTAATTCGGCCAAACACAGCAGATTTCAACACATTCCCAAATAGTCACCTTTCACGACACGCTTGTTAGAGGGAATTTTTAGTCTTTTCAAATGGTCCTAAGAAACTCTGTTAGATTAAATAGACATGATATCATTTCAAATAGCATGATTACAAATGCCCCTGGTATTCCATTTGGCACACACACTCTCTCTCTCTCTCCCTCTCTCTCTCTCTCTCTCTCTCTCTCTCTCTCTCTCTCTCTCTCTCTCTCTCTCTCTCTCTCTCTCTCTCTCTCTCTCTCTCTCTCTCTCTCAGCAGAACTGCCGACAGCTTGCCAAGATCATCTTGTAAAAATGCACAAAATCTATAGCTTCCCCGGGAATTTTATCTTCGTAAAAATTGTACTTGTGAAATGTATGACGCCTCAGCGAAACGAACCCGCTCCCTTTAGAATGAGAGACAAATGATTTTACTACTTCGCCACGAAGCCATTTCCCACCCCCACCCCCACCCTCGTTATCCCCCACCCCCCAAAACATGTACAGGATTTAAATAAAAGAGACCAAAAAAAATGGCACTGGCATCGTGTGGAGAATAGATCCCAGTCTGTGATTGTAGTGTGCCTCAGATCACAGTAAATGACGTTCACCAGCTGTAAATTCCGCCGGAAAATTCTTGTAGTACGTGCACTTCTCGACTTAAAGCCTTGATCTAGATCTAGAACTTGAGTTTTGAGTGCACATCCTTTCAACAGATCTGACTTAATTGTATACAGACTGTCGGTTCCTCGCTTATTATGTAGATGCACTCTGACTTGGAAGGAAACCCCCAGGCAGTCGACTCTTACGATATGTTCTATGACGAGCGTCGGCGTCTGTGGCCAAGGCGTTGCGAACGCGCTTTGTAATGTCGGGGTGCCAGGTTCGATTCCAGCTGCCGGCTCTGCGCCTTGCGTTGGTTTCGACAGTGGTATCGAGAAGCCGACCGCCCTGAAAGAAATGGCAAACTACTAGACGTAAATTTGCCTAGAAAAACCACAATAGCCCAAAAATGTTGAGCTTGGTTCTGCAACGTCCTGTTATGGATACAAAACTATGACGAGCAGTGGGTCTATTCTTGATTTCCCAACAATGGTGCCCTGGAACCCACACCGGAATAAATTATAATACATTTTGTTTTTACTTCACGAGGCGTATTAGGTAAATGGTGCTAGCTCCGTGTTTTACGCTAACGATACGAAACAGGTGATGTAGTCAAGACAACGCCAGCCGCCACACTTGCTTTAAAATTGTATGATAATTCTTTTAAGCTGGGTCTGCCTATGAATCCACGTGGATTGCGAAACAAATGTCTATTATAAGTCAATAAATTCAAATATCTGGGACCAATCGTTTTATCAGATGGAAAATGTGTGACACAGATCAAAAGAAGAAAAGGTCAAACGTAAGCTGCATTTCAGAAAATGACAAATATCTTCTGCAATAAACAGCTCTCATTTAATGTCAGAAAGAAAGTGCTAAAATGTTACATAGAACTTGTTCTGTTGCATGTCAGCGAATCTTGGAATGTCAGAACAAAAATTAGGTAGATTTTAGAAGTAAGAGAGATGTGGTTTCTGAGACGAATGTTACGAATACCTTGGACGGCCATAGTAACTAAAAACGATTGTTTGAAATAAGCTAATGAAAGCAGATCTCTATATACAACAATAAAAAAGAGACATACACTGTTCTTTGGCTACGCAATGAGAAGAGAGACATTGGAGAACATCGTGACAACTGGAAATATCAGTGGAAAAAGGGGTAGAGGCAAACCAAGAGAGATGATGCTGGATGGGCTGAGACGATGGCATGGTAGGATATCGTGAAGAGAACTGTTCCAGGCAACCAGGGATCGTGATATGTAGAGATGCATGAGCGACTACACCAGTTAGTAGGGCACATGATGATAATGATGATGATGTCTATTATAGTATTCAGACCCAAGATCATCGAGTCGACAGGCAAGAGTGCTGACTATTGCACCACCAAGGCAAAATATACAAAAGAGTTTCCTATCCGTGATCAAAGAGCTGACAGCAATATGGACCCTCTACCTCACGTAGAAAAGTAAAAATCTCTTTTTACGCCTTAGGCGCATCGGGCATATGGGAAAAGCATCCATATTTCTACAGACCAATCGACACTAGGTGGATAATGTGGTCAGCATTGCGCCGGCTGTCTTTACTTTCCCGGGACATACATCCTGGTACCCATTTCAGGCTGGGTCGACCTGCGACGCCCCATACCATGATAAAAATGCACTCAGCCAACAGTGGGTTTCGATCGCGGAACGTTGGAATTACGAGTTGGACTCGCAACGCCTAAGCCAACCTTGCATAGAAACCGTAAATAACTTGAAAGTCTACTTAGTATTGTCACACGCAAGAACCGCATCTGATGAATATTTATTCACAAATGCAAGAGGACAAACGGTGTTTGGGAGTTCAGTCGACGTTTGAGAGTCCGCAGTACTCGTATTGGCTCAGGCTTGTTCAGTCAGTAAAGAGAATTTCTTATCAAACATATTGAGCCAGTGAGGAAACATTTCTCAGTACTACTTCAATGCTGTAAATTAAAGGACCCTTTTCCACGCCTTTAGGCGTATAGGGCAAATAGGGCTAGACCTATATTTTTAAAGACCAACGGCACAAGATGGATGATGTGGTCAGCATCACGCCGGCCGCTTCTACTTCCCGGGACTACACCCGGTACCCACTCAAGGCTGGGTCGACCTGGGAGCCAAGGTCATTTTAGAAGAAAAGTCCGGCTCCGCCAGGGAACGAAACCACGACCTTTCGATCAGTGGCGCGCGTCTAGCCGCCCTGCCACGGCGACTCCCACTTCAATGCTGTGACTCTTATTTTTACAAGAAAGGACGGTTTTGTAGCATTTAGGACGTCATGTATTAAGTGCCAGACCAATATTGCTTTGACGAATAAATCTCTTTAAGAAGGTTACTGTACCTAATTCTATCCAATATAATTCTAAGCGGTGTTGGAGTAGGCTAATGCACACGTTTCTATCCTCTTCACAGACACAGACACACATACACACACACACACACACACACACACACACACACACACACACACACACACACACACACACACTTGTTCGAGAAATGAACAGTGAAAAAAAAATATCTCAAGTATAGTACTCAAGAAGTGTGCCCATGCACTCCAAAACTTGGAACGATAATGAGCTGAATATAGCTTCTAGCTAGTATACTTGCCATCATTTATCAACCAGATGATTTACAGATTTACACTTCTTTCCAATCTTCATTTACATAAATTTAACCATCATTTTGCAGATAACGACGAATGATTTATGTTATCATTGTTAAAAGTTAGTGTTTTTGGAACCAGACACATATAGATGACAAATGAAACTAAGTGCACATAGGATTACCTATTTTAAAAAATTGAATCATACATACCTTGTCAATGTAATCTCGCTGTAGTCCTTGAAACTCTTGGCAGATTTCACGTACTGATCTTTTACCCCATCCAGGTGCTTTTTTGCTTTTGCCGAAAGCCCGTTTTTCTTCCCAGTTGGAAGCCCTGTTCTCTGAAAGAAGACTTCCGTCTCCACTCTGAATCCTAAAGCTTCTCTTGCCCCACCCAGGTGCGCGTTTACCCCAGCCAGGTGCACGTTTGTCAAAATCTTCATTTTCATAATCTACATCAAACTCATAATTCCTCTTGCCCCATCCAGGGGCCCTCTTACCCCAGCCGGGGGCACGTTTGTCGACATCCTCATTATCAGCATCTACTTCAAACGTATAACTCCTTTTACCCCATCCAGGTGCCCTTTTACCCCACCCAGGCGCACGTTTATCAGAATGGCCACTGTCATCCTCTAGTTCAAAAGCATTGCCTCTCTTTCCCCATCCAGGCGCCCTTTTACCCCAGCCTGGGGCACGCTTCTGAATATCGTCACTGCTATCATCTATTTCATCGTCGTAGTTTCTTTTGCCCCATCCAGGGGCACGCTTACCCCATCCGGGAGCCCGTTTGTCTGTATTTAAATCTCCATAACCGAACTCTAGCTTCCTGCTTCTCTTTCCCCAGCCTGGAGCTCTCCTTTCTGCTGACATACTTCCATCTGCCGTAACAGAATTTCTCGACAATGCACCTATTGTATTTATGAATTTTTTCACGGCATCCGCGTTTTTCTGTAGCAAACTTTGACTCCCTGTATTAATGCCCCAGTTCCTAAATTGGTCACTTTCGGCATCATGGTCGCCCAAATCTAACTGGTAACTTCTTTTACCCCATCCAGGAGCACGTTTAGTAAAATCAAGTCCAGTTTCATCTGTATCAAAATCATCATTGTTGAACTCGGTGTTGTCAACAGTCTTGCCAAATGGAAGAAAACCTTTGCTACCTAAGGAAGGTAAGTTATTCAAACATGCGCCTCCATAGCAAGATCTTTTACCCCATCCAGGTGCTCGCTTACCCCAACCTGGGGCTCTCTTACCCCATCCTGGAGCTCTCTTATCACTAAGAAAGTCAGTTTCTTCAGCGAAAGGTGACACGGTGTTTAATGCTGCTAAAGTATTAATATCTCTAAGAGCACTTTCGGACCCATCGAGGAAATCGTCGCGATGAAGGGCGTTTCTTTTGCCCCAGCCTGGTGCTCTTTTTAGTCGGCTAGCTGCAACAATGTCAGTGGAAGACGACTTGATAACTGAAGGAGCAGCTTGATGTCCAACGTGCGAAGATGAAGCAGTTACAAGAAGCAGTGCCATTAACAAAAGTTGAGAAATAAAAACTGTTAATGATAAGGAGCGTCTAGCACACATACTGTTGCTGGTTGTCTGTGATGTGCAATACGTTAAAGCGTTTGTTGAGCTAAAACTTTGCCGGTGGTTCAATACCCAGTTCTCAACACTTAAAAAACAACTACAAAATAAAAATTCAAATTATTTCAATTCTATCTTTGTTGCTCGGTGTCACCGAGACGTCCGTTTCTTTTATAGCAGTGCGGCCTTTTCTTCTTTTTGTCTGTGAACTCTCATTCTCTTTCTAGGACTTTGAGACGAGCTGATGTTCTGTTTTAAGTAGCGATGCGTTGGCAGACAAAGTTTGGCGGGCGTTGAGTCAGTGACGCGACAACAGGGGCGGTAATAAGTGAGCGGACTTCCACTGTGCCCAAGCAATAAACGAGCTAAACATTGGCCCTATTCGTGTGTGTATTTTAAACTCGTTCGACAAGCAGCCTCTTTCACTATATAAATAGTAGTGTTTCAGTATCAAGCAATCCCCCTTGAGTTAGTTTGTATTACATTTCAGTAAAGTAAAGGACTGGTTTCCAAGGCATATTGGGTAAATAGGACTAGACCTATTTGTATAGACCAAACGGCACGGTGGGTGATGTGGTCAGCATCACGCCAGTTGCCTTTACTTCCCAGGACTACAACGGGTACACACTCAAGGCTGGGTCAACCTGGGAGCCAAACAAATTATTTTTTTTTAAAGTCTGGCTCCGTCATGGGCAGATTCCACAACCTTCCGATCCGCAGGCGAGCTCTCTCGACTTTAACCGATTCCACAACCTTCCGATCCGCAGGCGAGCTCTCTCGACTTTAACCGATTCCACAACATTCCGATCCGCAGGCGAGCTCTCTCGACTTTAACCGATTCCACAACCTTCCGATCCGCAGGCGAGCTCTCTCCACTTTAACCCATTCCACAACATTCCGATCTGCAGGCGAGCTCTCTCGACTTTAACCGATTCCACAACATTCCGATAAGCAGGCGAGCTCTCTCGGCTTTAAACTAACTTAAAGAAAATTGGAGCTATCAACCGAACAATGACAGAAAACTTCTAAGATCCCCGTGAAGAAAGTAATGTCAAGTAAAAGACTTGATTGCTGGCTTTCAGCTTATTGGCATTTAGTGCTAGATTTGTCATCGGTACTCTGTGAGCAGGTAAAATAGCCAACATCAGCGCCTTTACTTTACAGAACAACCCTTGCTTTTTATGTTATGTTGGATCCACCTAAGAAACAAGGTTATTATCGAGAAAAATATCACTTCCATACGGGAATTTAAACCCCTGATGTTAGGGCTGACAGGCTACAGTCTAGCAGAAGGAGGGAGAAACACTAATGGTTTACAAGATTGAAACATCCAATAGAAACGGCTTTTGAACAGTTCGTCTTCATTCTGAGCCCTTGATGTTAATAGCTGCAGAAAAACTCATCTGTGTAATTCGTCTTCTCTTTTCAGTTGTGCATCCGAGTATTTGCAGGTCTTCTTCTTCTTCTTCTTCAGAAAGCTTATATCAAGAGGCTGGAAGCCTTAATAAAAGCTGTCGTGCAGACCATATCGTCACGTTTACCACACAGCTATGTCCTAATTGTGGTTGGAAGAGGCCAGACTGCGTCTCTGTTACCAGCATACAGTGTTGGAGCACATTCTTAGCATTTTCAGGTGCCACCTCTCCGTGTTTCCTACACCCCAAAAAGTTGACCAAGAATTGCAATATAATCTTTCCACAGTCTTCTTTGTCTGCCTCGAAGTCTAATCATGTTCAGTGCGTTTGTGTACTCGGGTTTTGATTCTCTATTATCTGCCAAATCCCTCTTTATGCCACGACCATTGCAATCTATTGGTTCTCGCTGTACCAGTAATTAGCAATGATTTGCATATTGTGAATGTTGTTATCGCCCCTCCCCTCCATTCTGTTAAATTTTCATCATAAACATTGTATGTATGTGTGTGTGTGTGTGTGTGTGTGTGTGTGTGTGTGTGTGTGTGTGTGTGTGTGTGTGTGTGGAAATGATACTGTTTATTATGCAAATTTAGCAGAATGGAGAAAAGTTTATATATGTGTATGTGTGAGTGTGTGTGTGTATGTGTGTGAAAATGATGCTGTTTATGATGCAAATTTAGTAAAATGGAGAAAATTGTTTACATTTGTATGTGTGTTTGTGTGTGCGTGCGGCGTGTGTGTGTGCGCGCGCGCGCCCGCGCGTGCGTGTATGTGTCAAATCTCCAGGTTAAGTTTATGGTCCAGTAAGTCACTTGTACCCAAGCTTTGACAGGTGTGTTTGAAAATGGTGAATAATGAAGTGTTTTTCAAACCTAATGTATTTTACTTTCTGTGACTTCTTTTCATTCCCCCCCCCCCCCCCCTTCCCCCCCTCCCCCCCCCTCCCCCATCACCCCCCCCCCCCCACCCATTTTTTTTTTTTTTTTTTTTTTTTTTTTTGTTCTCTTCTATTTTACAAACTTCTATCTGAAATTGTGAGAATTTCAGCATAATGTGCCCAACTTTCCAAACACACAAACACATCCTACACAGATACATTCCTCACAAACTCACACATTTATCCCCCACAAACACGCAGATACATCCCGCACAGACAAATACACATGAGGCAGATGAAATCCTGCTGTGACATCATTCACGTGGGAGGCGTGTCTGCGATTCTAAAGACAGGGCAAGAACCACTTGTGCCCGTAATTTCCCGGAAGCTGCTCAAGAACTCACATTAATAAAGAGATTCTCTTCAGAGGCACTACGGCCTCCGGTTCGACTAGGCCCAATATATTCCATAAGTGTTTTCTAGTCTCATTTATTATTCGGTTATATTTATTTCTGAGCCACGTCTTCCTCTTCTGTTGGCAGTTTTAATGTGACTAGTACTAGTTCAAGAGCTCTGAAAATAAACAAAAAACGACAACAGTACCAATTATATATTCTGCTCGGATACTAGGATTTTCTTCGGCAATCACAAATTGCTACACTTTTATCTTTTTCGATTTTCATCAACCCTAGCAGAAGACAATTTTCAGACGTTAACGGTTGAGGAAGTTGAGACAATCAACACTGGGAAAATTGAATCGGGTTTTCCACATCTGTTATCATTATTAGACCAGAGAACAGCTAAACTGGCTTGCGAGATTCCAATTCAAACTATTGGGCAAAACATAGAGTCTAAGAAAAAGGGTGTTTCAGTGAGACGAAATCGACTTTATTCACCATTGGTTTCCGTATGGATTTGTCTCTCTCCACGCGGTGGTAGATCGAAAGCAAAGAAATTGCGTTACTTCAACGACGACCTTCAGTGATCGTACATTTGAGAACTACAAAGGTTTTCCAAATAGAACCCACAACATTAATGGTACAAGCAAGAGAATTAACCCCTCCTTGGCAAAGACAGGATATCTAATAAAAGTCCATCGAGTTTAGAATATTATTAAGTGCACCTTTCCAAATGCTAAACATTACAAGAAACATAATGTGAGTGCTCATTTAGGACCAAAGCTCTTAGTCACAATTTGTTTTTAAAAAATGCGTATGTCCTTCTTAATCAACTGTTCATTCGTTCAGCAAAATATTTAAGTCAATGACCTACTCAATTTAAATTACATAAATATTAAGTAAAAGAAACTCCACAGAGGAGCAAGCACAAAAGGGTCCACCGATCATCTGTAGAATGCTTCTACGTCCACTGTTTCGGCCCACTATCGTCCTAGACAGCCTCGGAATGTGGACCGACCTGGTTTATGAAGCCAGGCCTTGGACACTCCCTCCTGCTGAACTTTACGTTTGGACAGCGATAAGACGAAATGGTGACTTTGCAACAGGAGTTGTGAGATTTATATTCGTCGCTGCGGTAGCAAATTATGCGATCTTTACGACCAGAGTTACAAGCGTGTGGTTGGTTCATCTAATAAACGTTAGACTTTTGCAAATGGCACAGAGTACTGGCAGTCGTTTCTTTTGGACACTTTAGCTTCAAAGGGATGTAAAGTTCCTTTTCACAAGAGGCTCAGACCAGTCGACCGAAGCCAGCGCCCCCCCCCCCACCCCCTTCCCCAGGACATACCGTTGCGTCTAAAGCCAGCTCGAAGTTCTTTCCTCTGCTACGCCCAGCTGTTTCATCACCAGTGTTCTTTCATTTCCTCGCATGTCCAGGTGCTTTAGTACACTGTATGTGGAAGTGGAGATAAGTCCTCTTGCGCCTACCTCGTCGCCGAAGTTTTTTACTGTGTGCGCCTCATGTATCCTCAGACCGGCCACCCGATCACCATACTTTTAGAGCTTAAACAGGTGATTTTCTTCCATTCGCGACTTGCATTGCACGCTAAGCTCTATCAAGATGAGCTGGTGTCTTTTTCCGCAGAGTGCGGAACAGCTGAGGCCCTGTTAGGGTATATTTTCTGCCTCGATAATTTGGGACCGGTATTCGGAAGATAGCCCTGGAGATCAGTCCATCTCGTAGTAAACGTGGTAGTAAGAAGCGTATGGCGAACTTTAAAAAATATTGCTCGATCATTCCGGTGATATATGTTGGTAAGTGGAACATGCGAAGGGCCTGCGACAATAGCTTGTCGGGTACCGACCCATAGGCGTTGGTAAGGTCCAACCATATCACGTGCAATTCAATTCTGTCCGCGTTAGCTCTCTGGATAGACTCCCAGACCAGAGATGCCACTTTTGTGTACCGTTGTGTCATTGTACCTGTCCTGCATCAAATACTGTGGGAGCTTGCGCGCCATTACTGAGAAGAATATTTTGCCAAAGACGTTCAACTGCGAAATGGGACTGAAAAAGTTAAAAGTTAAAGTCGGGAGATGTGAATCAGTGTTATTGTACACAGGTATAAAAAATGAGTACTCTGCCACCAGTATGGACAGGTGATAAGAAACTCCGCCTGTGTCGCCATCCGCATGAACCTCCGTAGCTACAGCGACGTTCCTCCAGTTACTTCAGAAAACAGCGATTGCCAAGCACAAGAATGAGATCGATCGTATTGCTCCCATTAAAGAATGGGCCTGTATTGGGATA